GACACTGACTGTCTGTTTAGAGACAAACTGTCATTATTTACGGAATTAAAATGTCCAAACTCCACAGAGGCGATGTTCCGATGTTCAACTTTGATCTTTGGGTCTTTGCATAAAAATGTCATCCCTTACGATTAATTATGTGAGGGAAAACATAATTCGATTAGGAATTCAAATGCTAGAACTACGGGTTCCGATGGGAAAAAAGTCAAGAGTGTGTGTATCCTTTCCAGCAGAGTTCACGCTCCCAGGCGCTGAGTTTGGAGACCGGTCAGGTTGCAACAATTAGCCGACTGATTTATCTATGTGGAGCACTGGCAACTGACATCGAATGCCGGGCTCCGCTTACATTTGATTTGATTTGATGTGATGTGAGCGCCTACGAGCGAATGTGTTGCTGCGGTGCAGGCCAGCAGCAACAGCAATAGCGACCAACTAGCAACCAGCAACCAGCAAACAGCAACAGCAGCAGCAGTTTCTGTTGTGGTGCAAACGCATAATCGTAAAATTTGCAGTGGAATGTTGCAATATTTTTCGCGAGTCGCAAGCAATTTGCGCGTGAATTATTCCAAACGTTGCATTACAAATGATTTCAGCGGCGACCACAACGACCAGAGTCTTTAATTGGCTCACAACGAGGAAGTCATTGGCCCAGCACATGGCCATTGGCCGCCTCCTCCCGCTTTTCTGGCCCACTCCTTGTTCTCCTTCTGGCCGGGAACGTGATGTAGACAAAAGTTTCGGCTTTGGCCATAAAATCATATTCCACTTGGCGATTTCCATGAATGTCACACTTGAGCGGCACACTGAAGATGGGAAGCTGTTGGTCGCGGGTGTTGCTCTTGGGCGCTGATGTTGCTGCGGGGTTTTCGGTGCTGGTGTTGGTGTTGCAGCTGGACGGTGATGTTGCCCCTGGGTGCTACGACTCTATTAACGTGCCGAGTGCGTGAAACTTTTTGCAGGCTTCCATTTAATTTCCATGGCCGATGGAAGATGGCTTGTTGCATTTGCCTAAGCAGCCATTGTTGCCTTTGGCTGGGCTTTGCTGTTGCTGTTGCAGTTGCTTTGTTGCCCTGTTGCATGGCTGCTTGGTTGCTTTGTTGCTCTCCGGAGTTGTCGTCTGCATCGTTGCTGCCATGTAGGTAATTCCTGGAAGTTAATTTCATTAAGAGCAACTAGCAATGCGCGGCGTATTTATTAGCCACACGATATATTGTATGGGCCATGGCTTTGTTTTTCAAGGAATCTGCCGCCTGGCTGTTCCATGCATTTGTGGAATTCATCATCGGCGGCGACAGGCGGCCGTGGCAGCAACATCCCATCCCATCCCATCGCAACAGGCATTTCCCCTGAGCAACTGTTGCTGTTGCAATTTTCATAACTTATTGCTGGCATGCAAGGCAGACCCGGATCCGGTCGCGCTAGTTGCCGCTAAATATGGCGCGAAATTTCCTTAAGAAAATGAAGAAATACGCGCAAGTGCGATTTCCAGTTAATAAAATTAAACAGCCCAACTCGGCGTAGGGATTTAAAAATAACGCACATTCACCGCGGACTTGTAAAATTCTTATTAATTCTGATTGCAAGGCCAGGATTTCAGATCGCAGCAGGGCTGGAATACAGTCTAGTTGAAGGCAGGGGGACCTTGTTGTCATTGCGCCTCCATTTGGTCACAGTCATGCCGACAAGTGTTGTACACGCATTCCAGATACTTTTCCATCATTAGCCGATCGTCGTCGCTGTTTCTGTTGCTGTTGTCTGTTGATCCGATCTGGGCAAACACCTGCCGCAAGTGGAGTGCATCGAATGCCGTTTGGAGTAAAACATCTGAACAACTGGTCATCTGAGGAGATTCCCTGCAAGTGTGCTTTATTGGAACACGGATAACACGCAGCTTAAATGCTAGTATACCTCAGACTCAAATTACATCGAAACGAGATTCATACAAAGACCGCAGCGGCGGGCCTGTTTACAAAACAAATCCAATAACGTAGAATACAAACTAGTTTACAGATTCGAAAATTGAACATTTAAACAGGTCAGTAGAATATGGAATAAATGCCGATTAACAATACGACCACCAAAACGATGAACAGCTTGGACTTGATGTGGTACTTCTGCTCCAGGCTGTTCCACCAGCGTCCAAAGGCCACGGACACGCTGTTCTCATCCGGACGAAGAGAGCGTCTGGGACGCGGCTCATAGCCCAGAGATCCGCTGGACGCACTGGACGCACTGCCACTGGCCAAAGTGCGTCGGCTGTACGGGCTGCTGCGATCTCCAAGACGCTCGGCCCGCAAACGGGCCAGATTCTGGGCAAAGGTGCTCTCATATCTGGACTCCTCCGCCTCGTTTTCGTCGCTCAGCTCGTTGGCATAGGTGCGCTGATAGCTGGGGGAGGAGTACGAGGGCAGCGGCGGAGCCTCGGCAGTTACATAGCCCTGGGCTGCAGTGCGCACAAAGCTGCTATAGCGACCGGGTAATGGGTTGCTTGGTTGGTAGTCGTAGGACCTGGTCGAACTGGTTGCCAGTGGTCTGGCAGATGGCACAGATGGAGGCAGCACAGGAGCTGCTGAGGCCTCGTAGACCTGCTGGCGAGGATATTCCACCAGCTTGCTTTTGTACTCGTAGGTAGTAGTCCCGCTGCTGGCCAGCTTGGACGAAGCCTTCTCCCTGGCCGCGTGCTGCTGCTCCACAAGATTTGCAGCCTGGGCCAGCTGCTCGTCCTCCTCTTCATCGGACTCGAGGACAATCAGTGAGTTAACCTTGAGGTAGTTGTCCTCACGGTCAGTGCGCTTCGATGGAGCCGGCTCCTCGGCAATGGTTTGTGGCTTCTTCACCAGCTTCACCGGCTCCACCGGCTTGCTTTGGGATCCAGTGGACGTGGTGGAGGCTCGTCGCGTTTGAATCTGTGGAGCAGCAGCCGGCAACGGCTTCCTAGCGGCCACCGGCTCCTCATTTCGACGGCGGTCGGCGACCACCGGCTCCTCGTTTCGACGGCGATCGGCGACCACCGGCTCTTCGGGGCGTCGGCGCTCGGTTTCCTTGGCCTCAGTGGCGGCAATGGTGCGACGAGCCTTGGTCGCAGGGGCCACTTTGTTCCCGTCCAGCTTGTCTACCGGCGTGGATGCGGCCGCCGGAGCAGAGGCGACTGGAGCCAGGGTTTCGCGTCGGCTGCTCTTCTTGGGACTTCCGGCCGGCGAACCCTGGCCGCCAATGGAGGCGCGCAAACGCTTCACCAGCACCTTGCGGCTGCTGTCCGTCACCGGGATGTTGGGCAGTCCCTGGGCCAGCATCTTGGCGCGCAACTCTGCGTTGGACAGCGAGTCAAAATCGTCCACATCGGCCATTGTTTCCTGGGTTTCCACACACACTTTTCGTAAATCGTTGAAATTGAAATCGGCGTCACTTTTACGCGGTGTGTGCTAAATAGTGATGGGTGCGGTGCTAGCAATCGATATCACTTTGGTCGTTTTGCAACACTGAAAAGGCACAGGATAACAGTTGACTTTAAATAACATGTATATATAATCATATAAACTTTTTTATTTTAAAAAAAAATCATTTTTTTGACAAAATAATCTTATTTTTTAACGTTGGATTTGTCACACCTTCCTTACGCTGATGTTGGATATTAACACAATACAAAGTATCATTGTTTCCATACCCAAAGTTTCATACAACAAGAAAAAAATTGAATTGTTTACGTTTTAAATTAATATTTGAACAATTATTAATTCATGTGCCGTTTATTTTGAAATTAATTTAAATATTGTCAAAAGAAAAACGGTGACCTAAAAGTCACAGCTCAGCTCATCCCTATATCGATAACAGGCGAAAGTGAGTCTATCGGTTTCTGCAATTAAGAAAATCAACAAAACACAAAATCGGGCATAAAACATAAACTATTAAAACTTGAAACCATTGTTTACCTACAAATGAGTGTCCTTTGTTTATTAATTGAGATAGAGTTTAATTAAGTTTATTAAATAAGCATACATTAGGAGCAAGGGAAATTGAAAAACAAAGGAACACCCACACATCTTAGAAAATATTAATCATGGACATCTCAAAGGCACCTAATCCACGAAAACTGGATCTTTGTCGTAAATATTTCTTTGGTAAGCACACTTAATAATTATAGTAAAAGGGTTTGTTCTAATCTGTTTTTTAATTTATCCGAATTTAGCTGGTTTTGCCTTCCTGCCTTTCGTGTGGGCCATCAACGTTTGCTGGTTCTTCCAGGAGGCCTTCCATAAGCCCCCCTATCCGGAACAGAGCCAGATAAAGAGATGTAAGATTACCCCTAGTTGAATCCGTATAAAACCATCTAATATTATACTTTTCTAACCTCCAACAGTTGTTATATACTCTGCGGTGGGGACTTTATTCTGGCTCATAGTACTGACTGCTTGGATAGTGATATTCCAGACGAATCGCACAGCTTGGGGCGCCACAGCCGACTATATGAGCTTTATCATACCCCTGGGCAGTGCTTAACAAAGAACCCTAGAAATAACTAACTTATGATATTAAAAAAGACTTAATCCCAAACATAAAAATGTTTATTAATAACGCCCCATTCCATTATACCCATTAAATCCAAAACAACCGCTTGATTTAATTACATATTTTTTATTCACATCTAAAGCTGTTTTTGTTTTTTATAATTTTCTGTATACTTTAAATATGTGTACTATATTTTGTTGAAATTTCTTAGCCGCTAGTTATGTGTTTTGTTCATATTCGTCCATATTTGTATGCTTGATTTAGCTTAGTTAGCCGTTTTGTGGATTACATTCTTTGCTTAGATACAATTTCATTGTTTCGAATTCAATTCAATGCGCTCTATCCTTCTCTAAAATACATATTTTGTATAAAACTCTGCTTGTACCATTACATAAGCCATGATGGTAATTTGTTAAACCCCATTTAATTGTTATGTTGTGTGTTTGTATCCGTGAATCGAATGCTTCTATGATTTGATTACAAATTGCATTGAGAATGTCAAAAAACCTAGCGACTCTAAATGGGTGTAAGGAAAACACTCGCTCATCTACACATGAAGACATAATTCAAATTGCTATTATGCGGTAATTCGCTTTCGTTTCGTTTACGGGCTGCAGCAAATGCTGCAAGCACGTGTAGTACATTACAATATGATGCATTTAATGTTTATAACACGAACTTGGTGGCAACGCACTGGGCAAGGCCACCAAATCAATCAGTGGAACTAATTTACAATACAAAAGACTCGCTTTAAGGTATATTTACAATCAATACTTGTTTTTTATTTGTAAATTCTAAAGAATAGTTAATGTGTGTTTGGGGCAGGATGTGGGAGTTTGGGTATGGGGAGGATTCGTGTTTGTTTTTGGGGGAGCTTAGGCTAGAGAACATTAAGTGCCATAAATCACGCGTGTAGAGTCTATGAAGCGGCTAGTGAACTACTACACACCCACATTCACATAGATAATCGTTTAATTACACATATATCTCGCCTTTGTTACCATATCATATATGTATATGCGTATAAATATTTAAAGTACAAATTGATGCTTAGAAACAATTTAAATTAGTGTGCGGCTGCTGGCCGAAAAATTCATCGTAGTCATTCACGGATAACTTATAACATAGAAACTACGGATACGAGTAGTACACACATAGATATAGATTTAGATACACATAATATATATATATATATATATTTATAAGATTTGAATGGGCGGCGCGCCCAATTTGTCTTTTAGATGCAAATCCCGCGCAGCTCCATCCGCAACACAGATAAGGATAATTAATACACACGCTAAATGCTAATCTTGTACGTCCTACTTGCATAATTTAATCATTTAGAATCTTTTAGTTAAACAATATCCATACATTTAATTTCTTAATTTCGTTCCGCTTTCGTTTAATATATATTTTTACAAAGAAATCAACACACTACAGTATCGGGTTGTTTTGTATGTTTCATGTTATCTGTTTGTTTGTTTGTTCATGTTCGGTTTACGCCTCTCTCGTATGATATAAATATAAATATAGATATCTATATGCAGATGCAAATACACTTAGGAAAAAGTCGCTATAGGTAGTTATGCTATATATATTTATATATGTATAGGTTGTATGTGGTAATAGTAGTGATACCTTAGGCTAGTTATAGTTAACCACGTTGAACGAAACATCAAAAAATACTTATGCATATAAATAGTCGATTCTGTGTTCCTCTCGGTTCCTCGACCGCCGATGCATCAGCATCGAGGGAAATCCTCTAGAGGCAGCCAAGACAGCGACAGATTTCGACGGGAAGAGGTTGGAATCCAACGGGGAACAAAGCCTTATCCTGCTCCCATGGCTGCATCGCTGTCCCTGGGGATCTCGGAAGTTAGCAAATGCACTCTGGGCGGGCACCGTCGCATTGTGCTCCACACTAGTTGTTCTTCACGTTATACGCCTTCTTCTCGTTGCTGCCGTTCAGTGGATCTCATTTCGACGGACCCGGCGGAAACGGGTTTATCACAGCTACAGCAGCCGCCTGCTGGCTAGCCAAAACAGCCGCTATTGGTGGAAAAGATAAAGCTGTATCAGTATTTAACTCCTGGCACTGGAGGCTATTTGCTACTCACCTCCATAGGGCGCCGGGTACATGGGATAGCCGAGGCCGACGTGCGTGTGGTGGTGGGTGTGCACATGGCGCTGTGGCGGTGGACTGCGCGAGTCGGCGGCACCTGCACCGCCTCCTCCCGCCGCGCCATTGCCTGCAGCGCCTCCCACACCGCCCACGGCTCCATTGCCTGGTGGTCCATTTGGCGGCGGACCGCCGGGCATCGACTGCTTGTGGCCGTCCAAGGACGAACCGGGCGTTACACCGCCGTGTCCTTTCGGGCCGGAGAGATCCGGCTTGCTGCCGGGCGCCGGGCCCATTCCTCCGGGTGGTGGCTGTAGATTCAGCGGCACACCGCCCGCAGACCCAGGTGCCGAGCCGGGCTGCTGGTTGGGACCGCTGCCGGGGCCGAGGACACCGGAAACAGGTCCGGATCCTGGGCCGCTGCTCGTGGGTCCGCCCTGTTGGGGCGGCCCGATGCTGGGACTGCTGACGCTCACCTTGACGGGGCCGCTGCCGCTGGTGGGCGACTTGAGGGCCCGTTCGCTGAGCTCATGGATCTTGTGGGTGGTGTAGTACTGGCTGGCCGCATGGTGCAGTGCATCCAGGGCCTTGGTGCCGGTGTTCCGCGAGAGATCTTCGGGGGCATGGTAGCGCGGGATGGGCAGGTGATACGGTGCCGTATTGTATGGACCGGCGGCTGACATCAACACGTTGCGGTACATCGGATGATTGGGATCGAACCCAAAGGGTGTCGGGGAAATGTACGAGGGGTGGAGGAAGTACTGCGACGTGGGTGGTGGTGGCGGACCCTGCGTCTCCATGGTCGGCTTCTGGCCCTCTTGCTTCACCTTCAGCGGCTGATCGTCATCGCCGCCCTTTTGTTTGGGAGAATCCTTTGTCAGATTGGTGGCCTTGTTGTTGGCCGCCGCACTTGCCGCCTGCGACTGCTTAAGTTTTTGCTGCTGCTGCTGTTGTTGTTGCTGTTGTTGTTGTTGCTGCTGCTGTTGTTGCTGCTGCTGCTGCTGTTGCTGATGTTGTTGCTGCTGCTGCTGTTGGTGTTGCTGTTGAAGGTGCTGATGATGCTGCTGAATCGCCTGCTGTTGCTGCTGGGCCATTTGCATCTGCTGCTGTTGTTGCTGCTGCTGCTGTTGCTGCGCCGATGACATGCCGGGTTCATCCTTGTGCATCATACCGGGATGAGGTTGCAGGCCTCCACTGGCGGCGTTCTGAGCTGCCGCGGCAGCAGCTGCGGCCGCCTGATTCTGTCGCCCCGTGAACATGTAGTACCTGATTGGGAAATGGGATTAAGTTAGTCATATATTCTTATAATTATGTAGATTTCACAGAACATGTATAAAAGCTGTAAACTTTTCTATCTAGGTGTTTGGCAAAAAGTATAATATAATAAATTACCGTCTCAGGTCCTCGTCGCGCGCCTGCTGCACTGCCGCCAGACTCATAGAGTGGCGCTGGTAGATGGTGGGATATGCGCCCAGTGCCTGCAGATCCTTGGGATGCAGGGCATGCGGCTGCTGTGGCTGCGGGGGTGGCAGCTGTTGCTGTTGGGGCTGCGGCGCCGGCTGCTGTTGCGGTGGCTGATGTTGCTGACCCGGATTTGAATTGGGCTCCTGCTTGATCTCCTGCTTGGTCATGGGCTCCTGCTTGATCAGCTTGTTGGCAATCATCTAAGGGGAACATATTTTATTAGTTTCGGCAAAAGAAGAGAATTGATATAAAGACTCACCTGCTGCTGTGGTGGCATGTGCTTGGGCTGGTCGTGCGGACTAGGACTTTCCTTAAGGCGCTCCTCCTTGATACTAATCCCCGACAGCTGTTGCGACTGCGAGCTGGGCGGCAGACCTGGGTGCCCACCTAGTTTGGCGGCCTCCTCGGAAGCCACAATTGAAACTGACCCAAAGTTGGGGTCAACATTGTACGGATACGCAGGCGGAATAAAGCTGCAAGTAATTGATTGGTTAGTAATGCATCGGCATTTACAATGATCGTCCGGAAACTTACTTGAAGGGATAGAAGTGGGGCATGCCTTTGCCGGGTCCAGGACCGCCTAGACCGGCTGCCCCCAGCGCCGAGAGACCACCTAGACCAGGTGGCAGAGCTCCTGGCGGCGGTCCAGACACTGCACTGAGGTTCACCGGTGGCGGCTGAGATCCCGGCTGCGAGGTGGGAGGTCCAACGACCTCCTTGCCATTGTTCTCCGATCCTGGCTGTTGGCCCTGCTGCTGCTGTTGCGGAGGCTGCTGACCTGGCTGTGGCTGTGGTTTGGTCATCAGATCCAACGGTGGATCCTTGTTCTTGCCACTGTAGTCCGCCAGGTGAGCGGCCACCGACTGCTGACCAGGTGGACCAAGCAGGTGACTTGGGGGCTGTGAGGTAGGCGGAGGAGGGCCCTGCTGCATCTGCTGCTGCTGTTGAGCTTGTGTCAATGCAGGTGGCAATCCAGGTGGCTTGCCTGGCTCCGTCTGTACCATGTATTGAGGCTGTTGTTGCTGCTGCTGCGGTGGTGGTGGTGCCTGCTGCTGAGACGGGTAAAACTGGTACATGCCCGGCACATACATGTTGGGAGCCGGTGCTGGTGGGACACCAACAACGCCCACCTCCGGTGGCTTCTTGCCCATCAACTCGATGTGCTTGGCCGCCACCACCTGGCCGACTGACTTGTCCAGCAGCTCCTGCTCGGCCACTGGCGTGGAGTCATCGGAGATATCACTGTAGGCCGGACTCTGCACATCTTCGCGGGAAACACGACCCTCAAAGTCACTAGGTCCGGGTGACTTGCGGTTCTTCTTCTGTTTACTGCCAGCGGCATTTACGCTTACGGAACCAAATCCAGGCGAAGTCTTCAATCCGGCCTGCTGGGCGTAGGCCGATGGCGTCTGCTGATCCTGGACATGACTCGGTGGCCTTGGAGGCGACTGCTGCGTCTGTGGATTAACCGGTGGCTGACCTGGCTGCTGCATGGGATTTCCATCCGGAGGGCCAAAGCGCAGAACTCCCGCTTTAACTGAAGAGCAGATAAAAGAAAAGTTAACACACAGCTAATAAAATGAAAACCCATTCAGAAAATCAACAGGCTGTCAAGTACTTACGTGCTCCCTGCTGCAACAATGCCTGCTGCTGCTGATCGGACAACATTGCCGGCAGGCCACCCATTAGCTGTTGCTGGTGCTGTGACAGAGCCTGTCCAGAGATTCCAGCGGTGATGCTGCCTCCGGCCACTGGTTGCTGCTGCTGCTGCAGGTTGCTTGGCGGCCCACTGCCTCCTGGGGCGAGCAATTGTTGTTGCTGCTGTGTAGGAGGCTGCTGCTGCTGTGTCGCGGCATTCGGACCCGCTGTCATTGGAAGATTGCCCAGCGGCAATACTGACGATGCAGATTGCTCTGCTCCAGGTGTAGTCACTGCGCAAATGGGTACTGGAGCTGGTGGAGTGGCTGGTGGGGGTGCAGAAATTGGCGCTGTAGACTGCGTCTCTACCACAGAGGGTGTGGCACTGGGGGCGGTAATGGATACCGATCCAGTAGCTGGTGTCGTGGGTGCAGCACTGCCATTGGTGACGGGATTGCTGGAATTGGCGGTGGGCGTGTTCGGGGGTACTGCCACGGTTCCCTGACCCGCTGATGGCGCCGTCGCTGGGGGTGCTGTTGATGTGACAGATGCTCCTGCTCCCGTTCCACTTGAAACTCCAGGAGAGGGCGGCGTGGCCGGCTCCTCGGGCGCTTGCATAGAGTCCTCGTCCATGGAGCTTGCACCACCGCCCGCTCCGTGGGCATGGGACTGGTGATAGCGCAGCCCGTTGGCGTGCTTGTACTTCTTGCTGCAGTCCTGCTCGGGACACTCGAGCAGAACCGGGGAGATCGCGCAGGGCGAGGCAGTCTTACATTTCTTGGTGCTAATCTGCACATTGAGGCCGGTGACCGGGTTGAGCAGGCTTTGCGGCTGCGTGGCCAGGCCACCGCCGCTGGCCGAGATGGGGATGCCGCTGGCGTTCACCATGTTCACTCCACCAGCTCCGCCAATACCGCCAGACGCTCCGTCCGCCGCATCGCCATTGAGCGGTGAAGGCGCCTCGTCCTTGGACTTGCGCTTCTCGGGACGCGGCGGTAAGAATGCTGTAGGAGATGTACTGGGCGTGGCCCCGCCTCCATTGCCCGACGAGCTGCTGTTGCTGTTCGCTGCCGCATTGCCGGAGGCACTGCGCGTCGCTCCGCGTCCCTTGGTGGCACCATTGCGTAGCTTTGAGTGCACCTGGGCGTGTGAGAAATAAATCTGTAATTGAGTGGATATATAAATTAACAATCGATTTCTAGTCGCTTTTAAAACTCATTTTATAAGTTTCCCTTCAATTTGTTTACAAAATATACAGAATTGTACATACCGAGCTTCTGGTCTCGGTGAAGTTGCTCAGGTCGGGCGTGAGACCTGCACTACGTCCGCGCTTGCCGCGTCCCTTTGGAGTTCGAGAATCTAATTCTTCAGTTGGTGAATCACAGAATCTGAAATACAGGAAAAGAAATGAGTAATCAGCACTTCCAAGGCTAGCACTGTTGTGTGCAGTCCCCACAGATATCGAATTTCTTTAGTCAAAACAAACCACATACGTGAGAATCTTGATTGGCACATTAAGCATTTAACTCATAAATAATCCTGTTTGTAATCAAACAGAAAATTAATGCTACAGCTTATTTTGACTTAAAAAACTGTTTAGATTAACAATCACAAGTGCTTGAGGAGTCAATATGTATGAACTTAGATTCAGTACCTATTCACTTATTTATCCATTATATGGATACTTTTCAAACTGATCCCCATAAAATGGGTAGAAAAGATAAATCAAAATAAAAACTTGCAACATAATATTGAAAGGCATCTTTATTAATTTATCTAATCTCTACAATAATTTTGGAAACAGTTTGAAAAGCATATCACCGTAAGAGTCAACTCAATTCCCAGCCACACCAACTCACCTTGGAGGAGCCCAATCGTGTCGGGTGCAGTCGAGCAAAGTGCCCACGTAGGTCTTTCCCCGCCACGTGACGTTGACCACGAGAACGCCGCCCTCGGTCTCGTGCCACACGATCCCCTCGAGGGTTACGGAGGTGCCCGGTTCGCAAGGTCCCAGGCAGTCTGGTTCGGTGATGGTGCCCACCGAGGTACCGATGCAGATGTCTACCATCTCCTTGCCGCCGCCTGTTCCGCTAGCTCCGGCCTCGTGCTTGGCCCTTTTGGCGGGTGGCGATTTGGTATCCTCGTCGCCTGCTCCTGCGCTGCCAGCCGGCACCGAGATCGTGTGGTGCATGGTGGCTGAGATCATGCCGGGTGCCATCAACTTGGCCTGCGCCGCAGCACCTGCCTTGCTCTCCGATCCGCCGCTGCCGCCGGAAGTGCTGTTCTGGCCCTGATTCGAGTTGGCGACACTCCCGCTGTAACTATTGGAAGCGGCAGCCGCTGCCAGTTGGGCGGCAATGTGTGAGGAGATTTTAATGCTGCCGGCGGACTCCTTTCCCGGCGGTCCGGGTGCATTGGCACCTCCACCCGATCCCCCCACGCTGCCGGCATTACTGCTGGCCAGTTGGGAGGCGTTGTTGGATGTGGCTCCGGTAGCCGCCAGTAGAGAGGCTGCCGCTGGCACCACTGTCGAAGGTGATCCGCCCGAGGGTGAGCCCGCTGAGGGTGTGAACACACCCGGTGGCACTGCCGACATGGAAGAAGAACCACCGGTTTGGCCAGCTGGGCCACTCGAATTCGAGTTGCCACCGGAGTTGGACATGTGTGCGGCGCGCCGGATGCAGGCGTGGTGAGAGCACGGAGCTCCAACCTCTCCGTTGCAGGAGCAGGTTGATCCTCCAGCCCCCGAACCGGAACCCTTTTCGGGCGTATCCTTCTCTCCGGCCGCTGAGGCAGCCGCCGCCGACTTGTCCACGGACATGCGATTGGAATGTGCGTTCTTGTCCTTGGTCTTCTCTCGCCGATGACCCGAACTGCCGCGCTTAGTGCCCTGCGGCGTGGACTGACTGCCGCCAGAGGAACCTCCTCCGCTGGCATGGCCACCGGCATTGTTCTGGCTCCCTCCTCCGGACGAGGAGGAGCCACTCCCGGCACTCGCATTGTTCAGGTGCTTCTTGCTACTGCTCGACGAACTGCCGCTGCTGGAGGAGCTTCCGCTACTTGCACTGCTCGACGAATTATTTCCTCCCAGGGAAGACGCGTTGGTGGAACTGGAACCGGAACCGGAACTCCCATCCTCGTTGGCCGAGTTATTGGATCCGGCGCCCAGGGCTCCGTTCTGCTGCTGGTCGGTGGCCTTCACAATCTCGTGCTTGGCCTCCGAGCTCTTGGTGCCCGGCTTGGTGCGCTTGATCTTCATTTTGAGTCCTTTGTCGAGCGTCGCCTGGTGGTCTATGGACATCTTTGCGCTCGATTTACCACTGGAGGAGCTGGAGCTGTTACCGCTACCGCTTCCGCTGTTGCCGCCTTGCGAACTCGGCGGCCCACCGGCGTTTGTGTTGTTGTTGCTCCCGCTACCGCTTCCGCTGTTCCCTGCGCTGCTGCCCGAGCCGCTGCCTCCGGTTCCGCTGCTGCTGTTATTGTTGTTGCTTGTGTTGTTGCCGCCGCTGCCGCTGCCCGTTTGCGAGGACATGCCGCCAGCGGAGAATTTGGAGTTCTGTTGTCCACTGCCAGCCACTGTAGCTGCTGCTGCTCCTGCCGACGAGGACACTAGGCTGCCGCCCTTGGAGAACCCGGCAAATGTCGAGGATGACAATGTGCTGCCGGCTCCAGCTCCCGCTGCTCCGTTTGCGTTCCCGCTTCCACTCCCCGATCCACTCAGGGACTTGGAGCTACTGTTCAGTGGACTCGGACTGTTCAGTTGAGCCACCAAAGCAGACTTGTAGCCCTTGGAACTGCTGCCGCTGCTGCTCGAGTTCGAGTGATGGTGGTGATGGTGATGATGCTTCCCCGAAGAAGAGGAGGATGTGGAGGACGAGGAAGAGGATGATCCCTTGGCCACCACGTTCGCACTGCCACCACTGGGCGCTGCAGCTGCTGATGAGGATGTTGAGGAGGAGGAGTTAGCTCCGCCACTGGCCACCGGCTGGCGTGTGAACTTAATTGTGGTTGGCGAGGTGGCCGACAAATTGCTGTGCAATGTGGTCTTGTGCGATTTATGCGACGATGATGATGATCCCGCCGCCGCTGCTGCTGAGGATGACGTGGATGAAGATCCGCTCTTGGAGGATGATGAGGAGGATGTGGAGGAGCTGGTTGCCTGCTTGGCATTTAGCGCGGTAGCCTGGTTGCCACCACCCGAAGAATGCGCCGACTTCTCGATGTCCGCGTCCAAGTCGTCCAGCAGCTCTGGTATGCCGCCAATGTTCCACTCGTCCTCGTACTCGAAGTTCGTGTCCTTTGACTCGCTCGAGTTGGAGCTGCTCGACGAGGAGAGCGACGAGGAGGAGGAGTTGCAAGCGGGGCTCTTGCCAGGTAGTTCTGCGGAGGGAGAAGGGAGAGAGAGGGATTAGGTGAGAGTTCCCGCGTCAGTGCATAGGGGGCAGTGGCGTATAAGGGGGGTTATATCAGAGGGATAAATTTCAAATCTACTTAAGTTTTAATTTTTTTAATCAAATTTTCAGTTCAAAAAATGGTATTTAAATGCATACATATATACAAGGACATATTTTCTTTCTTTTTAAATAGGTTATTTTTACCCTTTTCAAGTTGGTTTTAAATAATTATTGTAAGGGCTTATGAAGTATTTTTGACTTTTAAAGAACCAAGATGTATTAAAGTAAATTAAAAAAAATGCAAGTCCAAATGATGTTATGATAATTACAACAATAACCAACATGTGCGAAGGGATTATTTCGTTTACTGAACTATCTCACCCCCTTTCAAAACATGTAACCCAGCCTACATACGCCACTGTTGATAAAACAGAAAGAGAGCCAGCGAGAGATTTGCAGTTACTTACTCGTGTTTGTGTGCTTCTTGATCGCACTGGAGTTGTTGTTGTTGTTATTGTGGTTGCTCCTCTGATTATTCGCCGATGCTGCTGCCGCAGTTGTTGTTGTTGCCTTCGTTTTGTTATTGAAATTCAGCGCTTGATTCGCCGTTGTCGCCGTCGATGTTGTTGTTGCTGCTGCCGCTGTTCCTGTTGTTGCCGTTGCTGTAGCTGTAGCTGCTCCTGCCGCACTTAAATTAGCTAACAATTTATTATTCTTAATATTGCTTTCTGTTGCTACGTTGCTGCTATTCAGGGCCACCTGCGAATGCAGAAAGAAAGAAGAAATCCAACAAAATAAGTAACAGCCGAATGCGTGTGTATGGGTGTGAGTGCGTGTGCGTGTGTGAGGAGTAGGGCAAGAGGAAAACTCCAAAAATCTCTCAAATAGAAATTGTAATTTCGTCCGCCGCTTTCGCTTTCGCTTTACCTTTGCCAACTTCTTTTCCATTCCATAACCATAATTAGCGCATAGTTTTGTGCCTATGTGATATTACTAATGTTTTAATTTACAGAAAAACAAAAAACGAAAACAATAAATAAATAAGCAACGTCGTATTCCTCTCGATTATTTTGCGCGAGCCTTCTCCGCGGCGTCCTTTTTCGACTGAAAACGGAAAAGCAACACAAAAAAAAGGGAGCCGAGCCGGAGAGCAACCACCGAAAACGGCATGGGAGAAGAGAGGAAGAGAGAGAAGAGCGGCGGAGAGAAGCGGGCAAAAACAAAACGCTTTTAGTGTTGGAAAACGCGCGTGGCCTGTAAGTAACTGACATTTATAATTGTTCATTGATCTCGATTATGTTTTTCTACCCTTCGACTAACAAATCTTTGGACTACTGTCTCAATAAACCAATAACAAAGAGTGGAGAGTGTAGTTCGCTGGTCAGTTTGTTATCGCCTCCTTCGCTTATCGCACACTGCAAAAGTGTAGTGGCCACTTGAGAAAGCAGCCCGAAAAAAAACGCCACTCGAGTGGGCCAAAATGATGACAATAAAATAATTACGCTCTTATCGCCCACTAAATGTATAGAGTGGAAATGGAGGGGGCAGGTGGATAAACAGTGTTGTCAACTATTAGACACCCCATATAAGCTATAAACACTTGCCAAGAATAAGTAGCCAAACAACACTTTAATTACTGTCAATAAAAATATAATCTCTCTTTACATTATTGTGTAGTCAAAAATAAAGAATCTTTAAATTTCAAATGACGTCGAGTATAATCTCTCTACATTATTGTGTAGTCAAAAATAAAGAATCTTTAAATTTCAAATGACGTCGAAGAATTTATTTTTCTACTTAAAACGTTAAAATGTTATTAAGGATGGCATTGAAACTAAATTGAAAACACAATTTTAGAAGACTAGTTTGAGGATCTAATTAAATGTATTGAATATTTGAAAAATAATAACATTTTAAATGGACTTATCCATTCGATTTCACAAGTGTTATAAGTTTTGGATTTACCGATATAATTCAAATTTATAAAAAAAAAAAATAAATAAAATAAATAGAAATATAATCTCCCTTTTAATTATTGTGTAGTCAAAAATAAAGAATCTTTAAATTTCCAATGACGTCTAAGAATTTATTTTTCTACTTAGACCCTTAAAATGTTAACAAGAATGTCATTAAAACTACATTAAAAACACAATTTTAGAAGATTAGTTTCAGGAACTCACAAAATGAATTGAAAATTTGCTATAAGTTTTATAAATACTGATATAATTCAAAACATGAATCTAAAAACCTACAATAAATCCAAAAAAAAATGCATTTTTATAAAATATCTGATAATCTACAAGGTGTTTAATCCTGATTAAATCTTATCATTTTCTAATGGAACTAGTTAATAGCTTAACAAGATCAAGTAATTATTTACTTACTATTCATACTTGGTCAGAGACTTGTGACCAAAGCACTTTTAAGTAGGCGTATCTATTAGGTAAGCTAACAACACTGGGTGGAATGTGGTGTGGATAGTTTTCGCATAAGGGGCTCCGAGCCCGAGGTGCGACAATTTGCTTACCTTATTCGGGTGGTGGCTAGTGTTCGCCTCGTTACGTCTCATTGACTCCATGCAGACGCAAACGATCGGGCGGCCGCACTGCGCGGGCGGCCCAAAGTACTACCAGTAGTGCCAAGGAACGTGCAGCCGGCGGATGAGTTGCTCAGATGGCTTGGACAGGTGCTGCGATTGCTGGCGCGGATGCGGATGACACGGCTCGTGGGTGGCGATGAGATGGGGCGCTGCCTCGGGTGACGAACTGTCGACTTGTTATCCAGGCAACAATGCAGGGAGACACAGGGCCTCGGCCCTCGGGCCAAATGGTTCATTTTCAAAACTGCAAGTGGAGACAGAACAAGAAATATTACCCGATTAGTACAGATATGCGGCTAGTGCTGAAATGAAAAGTACTGCCCCACTTGATCGAGTGCTCGACGAGATTAGAGTCTTGCCTTGTCGCTCTTTCAAGTGCTCAATTCAATTGCCCCCTTATCGGCGGCGATCGCCAATCAACGTGTTTGAGGTTAACTATAAAGCCTGGGCGACTGTGATTTACATGCACTGGTCTGAAATGGGACTGGGGATCATAATGTGTATATATAGATGGTATGGGGAGGGGACGACGGTGAGGCGGGCCCCTTAACGACCTGGTAATTAAAGCACTTTTGCACAATTTACTGATACTGATAACGCGACTGGCGGCCCCTCTGGTATACGAGTAATACTACTTCTACTCCCACCGATCTCAAGTGCCACCGAATATGGAGTATATGATTTAAACATGTGCGCGAGCACAGTAGCCGTTGCCGTTCCGATTTGCGATTAGATAACGTCTGCGCCGACGTCTCTGGGAATTCTACGAGAGTTCCTACACGTCTTGCCACCCCGAAATCGTTGACGTCATCGTTCTCAACTCACTACTTGGCACTTTTTTATTTCAATGCAAATTAACAATAATGCCAGAACAAATGTCAGGCTTTATGGTCTTCAGAGCCAAATAAGCTAATAGTGACTTTAGCTGAAAATAATACACAAACATACTATATCACTTTGGAGATCTAGATAATGGTTCTAGCTTGATAGTAAAAGTAACTTGACTTATTGTTTACCTAAAAATATAACAAGGCTTAAAATATATTTTACCTGTAGTTCTCATTTAGTCTTTTTTGTAAAACGCCACAAAAGGTATATCGCAAATATTATGATACTATTTTTCCCCTTTAGTCGACAGTTTTTGTGCCCTCCTTTGTCAATTAATTTGATTGATTGGTTTGCATGAATCTCTGTTGATTCATTCATTTTTTTTCAGCTTCGTTCGAATTTAAAGCAACAACAACAATTAAATTTGCATGTGCTTAACATTTTATGATAATTAAGTGGCACAGACAGCAAAACACGCTTTTTTGTGTGTGGGCCGAGGATGGATTTTTTTTGTGTTGCCAACTTGTGTTTGTTTGTTTGTGTCACCCGAGTTATGTTCGCATTTTCATACTGAATACTGAATACTGAATACAGAAACTTAATTAATTGAGTTGTTGACTGTGCTCGGCTCGACAATAAAAGCTGCCCACACATTGCGTATTTTTACTGCCGCATTTAATCTCATCCAAATGCGAGTTTTAAGCCCGGACAAGAGCATTTCAGTTCCCATGGCAATCATCTTTTATTCGCCGCTGAGCCCCTTCACTCGGACACCATTTAATCCGCTATTACGCACTCCACACTCTCTCGACCATGTGGGTGGTAATGCGAGTGTGGCATGTGGCATTAACGTGCCAACAAGGGGTTAAACCCCGAAAGAAAAAAAAAATGGTAAAAGAAAAAACTAAAAAAAACCCATCCATTGCGATGCTTTTCACAGACGCCGCCAACAAACACGAAGATTGAAACACACCATAATTTAGACAAATCAATAAATTACTAATAGCCCCCGCTACTTCGCTCCTTTGTGCGATCGACATTCCACCGAATTCGACCGGGGTCCCAAGTTCCCCCAAGTGGTACGGAAGGCACAGGGGCATGGAAAAAGGTAGGCAGCAGTTGGCCAGGTAGAAACTGCACGGCTGAAGGCACAAAGACAGCGCCGGTCATCGTTCAAGTCGTGTTTTAAATTGGGTTTGTGGCCAAGCTCCGATACCATAATACTCCCCTCCACGGTGAACAGGAAGGTAAAAGATGGAAGAATGGCAGAGGGGGACGGACATCGTCTTCTTGTTATGGCCAAAGTCCCTGTCCGCACGTACTAAACATCAGGCAGTACCCAACCCAACCCAATAGCAACCAGAAAACAGATAGTGCTGATTCTAAAATGTTGACTGCAAACATTAGCTATCTTTATAGAACTTTGGATATTGTGTACAATTTTGGATGCTCTACTTCTTGCTGTTCTAGTAGTGTTCCCTTCGTAAATTGTCGTTCAAAATATAATCTTTAGAGATGATTTTTTGAAAAGAATAACTATAAGGGTTAGTGTATCTCTACGAAACTTTTCTACTGGTTCTACTTTTTGCAACAATATCTAGCTTGCATAAAATAGCTAGACCATTCAACGCTGGCAAACTTCAAATCAGCGGGAGAACATGAAATCGCCAAGATGATGAAGAAGCCGAGGAAAACGATGAAGAACAAGGGCTGTAGAGCTAAAGATTTACGGCAACATCGTCGGAAACATCGGCCGCCGTTCAGATCGTTCGAAATCGCTTGGCTTCATCGCCGTCGTCATCATCTCGGTTTTTTTTTTTTTGGTTTCACAAGACGGTTGTTGTTGTACAAGATTGATCCTCGGCGGTTGCTAAATGAACGCCTCCGGGGAGTTGCCAGTGCGCTTTTATTAGCGTTTTTGATCCAGAATGGATCGTAACCACAGCAGCCAACAAGGAAAGTCGTGGAGAACGGGTATAGGTCCCCATCAGACACACACGCAGCTACTATTGTGGTCAAATAAATAGTGTTGTTACACTAAATAATGTTAACTATATTCATACAACAATAGGGGTTTTTTATGGGTATTACTAACTTTAAAACAACCAGAACGGTTGATAATGCACCTTCGTATTTTTGTGGGATCTTGCGGAACCCTACACTTATAATTCAGAAAAACTACAAATCATTTTGTTAATTCGTATGCGCTTTACGACTGTTTTAAGCCCTAGTTTTAGATTAAAAAATCCAAATACCTTTTTAATTTTTTCAAAAATTATAATTGTTTTAAATATTAAATTCCAATTGTATGTAGTTTTGTTTTGCTTTAATACACTATTATTTTGAGCTCTGTTGTGCCTCCACAACATACAAAAAATACAGACAGAAATTGCGTTTCGCTAATAATTCTTGGGTCTTGTTTCTGTTTTGATTCGACTCGAATCGCGATAATTTGATTTTCCCCAAGCGCAACTCATGCGATTGCGTTGGTGGCGGCTGTTTAGTCTCAACACGCTCGAGGCGGCGGCGGCGGCTCGGCGTTCAATTAAATTAAGTGCAGCGGGTTCCCTTTTCGTTTTTTATTTTCCCTGTGGCATGCCACACCACCGCAGAACGAGATGTTCTCGAGTGCTGGCCAACTCAAGTGGCGATCATGCCACTTAGGCAACGGTCTGAAAACGAGCCTTGGATGGGAACTACTCAAAGACGAAGGGGAGGGGGCCCAGATCTCGATCCCCGGGGAAGTAGACACATTCAATTGCTTTTCCAATATATTGATCACTCGAAAGAAACGTGAGTGTGTGAGTGTTTGTTTGCGCCCCTTTTCCGTCCATTGATAGGGCATAGGAATTTATGACTTCATTCCCCCAACTGATCTTTTGTTCGTGTCACCAGCAATTTGCTGTCCTCAATTACGAGTGTTTTCCTTTGTGGACCCCGAATCTAATGAGTTGCACAGAAGAAATAGGGATAGGGATAGGGTGCAGACTCAGATTCTGGTCTCTGTAATATTTCCCCGATTGGCGTCAAGGGAATTTTGCGTTATCGAGCCAGAGAGGGTTTAGTTTTAATTGTAATCCCTTGGGTAATGCGTATCGCAAGAATGTGAAATTCGGAACTTAAAAAATTAGTTATGCCATTTTTCTATAAAGATTATGTGAAAAAACCTCCATTTGGATAGCACTTAACAAATAAGTATTAAGCGTATAACAAACAGGATCCATAATTTGTTCTATGATCTATAGGTCATTAACTGAAGTTAAAATTCAAGGTTGATAAATGTATAACTAATTACAAGCTATGACACAAGTATTGCGTGCATTTACCGATTCCCGATAAGCTATTTTATGTTTTGATAAATATAAAACAAGCTGAAAACATTTAAACTACTGCAATGTAACGAACCTTTAGCTATATAAATCATGAAGAGCTTAGTGAACTTAGTTACTTTTGGGCAAGATGCTACCACGTTCGTTGCTACCGATTATTGGAAGACTATGGCTAATAGTTTTATTAGCAACTCACTGCATTGGCAAGGTAAGAAATCTATTTCTACCTGTAGGGAAGTATAATAATAATGCTCGAGTTAACAGCGAAAGTGGGAATACGAGCCATTGTCTATTGAAACCTACAGTACGGATGAAAGCCTGCTAAAGATGACAGCAAGAGTGGATCGAATCGGTCGGGGAGAGTACGCCATTTCGGCCGAAATCGAATTTAAGTACGAACCGGATGAGAATACCATGGTAAGAATGTGTTTTTTATTACTTCATAGTTATGAATTTCAGAAATAAAAAACAATGGTGTCCTGAAATTGATCTATTTAAGATCTTAGAATCGATCAAACATTCTAAGTTCATATACTATAAATCACTATAAGTCCAAGTAACATAATTTATACTTCTAAATGACTTTTAGGTTGAGGCAGTTGCCTATCGCAGCAGCTCCGGAGAGGAAAACGACTATAAGATTATTCCTTTAAGCATCCCGAAACAAAACTATGTCGAATTTATGAACAATAACTATAAGGACGTGGTGATCCCCAACCTGGGCGGATGCTCTAATCTGGTCAAGTTTGAGGATAAATTCGAGCCCCCGTGGCCCAAAAACACTTATAAACTGGAGAAGTGCGTGGCCGACAGCGATGGCTTTCCGGACATGGTTCCCGAGGGTTATTACAAGGTCAACTTTACCATGTCGAATCCCGTGGACTGGGGGTTCGTTCTCATCGTGAAGATCTCAACTAAATTTATGTAATCTCTTCACTGGATTTGATTAATCATATATCTATTCAAAAAATACATTATCTATTTGAACAATCGAATATTAATGTAATATCAAATATATTATATATCTGTAGAATGTAGTTAGTTAGATTTCAATTTCAATAAAATCAGCTTCAAAGACATAAAATCTATATTATTGGTCAATTACAGGCACGAGCTTGTTAGTTTTAGAAAAATGGTTGTTAAACATTAAACAACATTTGGTTCGCAAGTAGTATTTCAAAAATTTATTTGAAATCATTTTAATTGCCAAGCAAATAACATTCAAACATGATAAATCCGTGAGATAATGCTTTTCCGAATAAACCACCCTGCTATATAAGGCGCCTTGATTTTATAAAATGTATCAAATCCAATTCAAGCGAAATGGTAACCTCTAATTTACTTTCAACTAGAATCGGAATTCTACTTTTGGGCATACATTTGGCAGGGGCAGCAGTAAGATTGGTAAAATAAATATAGTTGACAATTACTAAAAGTTCTGCCCTTAGCGAAAATGGGACTACGAGCCTATATCACTGACCGCAACTTCTTCGGATGAAAGTAAGGCAAAGGTTGACCTGAAAATCGATCGTCTAGGACGTGCAGAATGGGGGATGTCCGGCACCATAGAGTGGAAATATGATATGAATGTAGAATCTATGGTAGGTTACAAAAATACACTATACATTATACACCAAACCCTTGTTCTTTACTTCCCAACAGGTTGAGGCCTCTGCTTATCGGAGTAATTCGGGCGATGAGAGTGATTACAAGCTTTTACCTTGGGCAATTCCCAAGCAGAAATTCTATGATTACGTCGATACCTACTACAAGGATGTGATCATAAAAAACCTGGGCCACTGTTCCAACCTACCGCAGTTTAAGGGAAAATTTCAACCTCCCTGGCCACAGAACACCTATAAGTTCGACAAGTGTAAGATCGATGGTGATGGACTACCGGATGTCGCACCACCCGGATTTTACAAGATTTTATTTACCCAATTTGGTTCTGGCCAGCCTACATGGGGTTTTACGGCGATTTTTAAGCTGACAGCCAAAGTGTTTTAGATTGTTACATGTTCCAGGATCAAGAAGATCCAATTTTTTTTATATTTCATTAATGAATAAATAATAATAAATATATACATTTTTGGCTTTTATAATTCACTCAAAAATTTGAGAAATTTGATGCTTGGGATGTTACTCCTTACACTTTTAAGAAGATTTAACAAAAACGATAATGGTAAAACTAGATATGTGCTTGCTTGATACCAACATATTTCATTTTTTTTATGGTTTAAGTTGTGGGTATGATTTTTATATTATTTGATATTCCCATGACCTTCAAATGACCATTACCAGGAGATATAACAAATGAAAATCATGTTTTCATAGTCTGATAACAATGTCGTGCAACAATGCATTGCACGTTATTAATTCGTATCTGGGGTTGACTTTATAAGGCGAGACATGACCGTGGCCAGTTTATTATGGTCCCAATGGCGTCCCTCCGCTTCTCGTTGGTTTCAATATTTTTGGGTGTCCTGCTGATCAATGGAATCAGAGCAGCGGTAAGTTCAGTATTTAAAAACCAACATCATCTATTTCATTTTTTTGCAGCGGAAATGGGATTACGAGCCCATATCGATCGATACCACCTCTTCGGATGACAGTTTGATAAATTTTGATATCAAAATCGTTCGCATTTCTCGCGGAGAATTCGGAGTAACAGCCAAAGTCGAGTGGAACTACGATACGACTGAGGAAACCATGGTGGGTAGTAAGCATAAATTAAGTGTATTCTGTATGGAAACAACAATTATCCTCAGGTGGAGGCCGTTGTCTACCGAAGCTCTTCGGGAGATGAAAATGACTACAAGATGCTCCCATTTTCACTTCCCAAGCAAACCTTTTACGATTACCTCAATACCTACTATAAGGATGTGATAATTAAGAACTTCGGCTCCTGTTCCAATATTCCGCAGTTCGAGGATAAATTCCAACCGCCATGGCCAAAGCAGACTTTTGTTGCTGACAAATGCCTTATTGATGGCGAAGGGTTTCCGGATATCTTGCCGGCCGGATTCTACAAGATTATATTTAATTGTACCGGAGAGAGCCAGCCGTCATGGTCCTTTACTGCTATTTTTAAACTAACTAACAAAATGTTTTAAACATATATAAACATTTATAAGCTGTAACTGCACTACGAACAAGAATACAGATGGGCTTATCCAAATTGTTTTTTCTACTCTCTCTACAGTAAAATTTTTGTTTTTGGTCATATACCTTTCTAGTCTGGGGTACAGTTCTTTTTTATATATTTTTTTATTTCGATAAAAAAATTTTTTTTCTTCGAACGACTAAATCATATGAATATTTAGAAACGATCGGAAATTAATGGAAAAATAATATTCAACAGCTTCGTTGTATTTGATCATATTCTTTACACTCTGGGGAATAATATCGATATATTTATACACAAATGTTCCAAATATTCGGCTTTTGTAATTTACGTATGATTTTAATTCCTTGATATGGTTTAAGCTGCCAGGGTATACCAAGTTCGGCTTCCGAAGGAAGCTTCCTTTTTTGTTTTTTATGTTAGGAGATAATATAAATGTAAATCAAGTATATCTAGTCTGATAAATATGTCGTGCAAAATTACACGTTATAAAGCAGTAAATGTGGCCTTTATAAGGCAAGGTATGGCCGTGCTCAGTTTAATATGGTTCAAATGGTTTCCCTCCGCTACTCGTTCGTTTCAATTTCTGTGGGCTTTCTCCTGATGATTGGAATCAGAGCAGCGGTAAGTTCCGTATTTGTATATATACCAAAATAATATTTTAAATATTTTATTTTGCAGCGGAGATGGGAGTACGAACCCATATCGGTCACTGGCATCTCTTCGAATGACAGTTTAATAAGTTTCGATACCAAAATCGTTCGCATATCTCGCGGAGAATTCGGAGTATCAGGCATAGTCGAGTGGAACTACGATACAACTGACGAAACCATGGTGGGTACTAAGCAATAAATAGGGATATCCTATATTCAATTCAACAATCTTCTTTAGATGGAGGCCGTGGTCTACCGAAGTTCTTCGGGAGATGAGAGTGACTACAAGCTGCTCCCTTTTTCCGTGCCCAAGCAATCCTTTTACGATTACCTGAACAGCTACTATAAGGAAGTAATAATGAAGAATCTGGGCCACTGTTCCAATGTTCCGCAGTTTAAGGGCAAATTCCAACCGCCATGGCCAAAGAAGACTTATATCGCTGAAAAATGCGTTTTTAAGGCCGATGGATTGCCGGATATCATACTGCCCGGATTCTACAAGATTGTATTTAATTGTACCGGACCGAACCAGCCGTCATGGGACTTTATTGGTATTGCTAAAATAAGAAACAAAATGTTTTGAAATCAAAAAATGTAGTTGCTTACTTTTGGTAAGACTAGTATTTTTTAACCTAACCACTGTTCATGGTTTGATAAAAATGTCGTGCCAAAGTGCACATTATTAATAAATCGGTGGGCTATAATCTATTTCATATTTGTCAAATGGTTTTCGGTGTTTACTTTCTAGTATTCATTCAGAAGATCATATCCATGATATAAAACAATTGTAAAATACATTACATAGCCTGATAATAATGCCGTGCAACATTGCATTCCACGTTATCAATTAGTATATATCGGTTATATAAGGCGAGACAAGACTGTGCACAGTTTTATATGGTACAAATGGTTTTCCTACGCTACTCATTTGTTTTAATTTTGTTCGGTGTCCTGCTGATTGATGGAATCAGAGCGGCGGTAAGTTACGTATTTATATATAAACAAAAAGTTATATTTTTAATATTTTATTTTGCAGCGGAGATGGGAGTACGAACCTATATCGGTCGCTGGCATCTCTTCGGATGACAGTTTAGTAAGTTTCGATATGAAAATCGTTCGCATATCTCGCGGCGAATATGGAATATCAGCCACAGTCGTCTGGGACTACGATACAACTGACAAAACCATGGTGGGTACTAAGCATTTTTTAAACAGTTCCTGTATAAACACAACAATTTTCTTCAGGTTGAGGCCGTTGTCTACCGAAGCTATTCGGGAGATGAGAGGGACTACATGTTGCTCCCTTTTTCCATTCCCAAGCAATCGTTTTACGATTACCTCAATACCTACTATAAGAATGTGATAATGAAGAACTTTGGCCCCTGCTCCAATGTTCCGCAGTTCAAGGACAAATTCCAACCTCCATGGCCAAAGCGGACTTATATTGCAGAAAAATGCGTTTTTAGTGGCGAGGGATTGCCTGAAATCATATTGCCCGGATTCTACAAGATTATATTCAATTGCAGTGGACCGAACGAGCCGTCATGGGCCTTTGTTGCTATTCTTAAAATGAGAAACAAAATATTTTGATGTCAACACTATAATGTGTTATGGAATATGAATAAATTTTGAAAAATTGTCAATAAGAAAAGAGTTGGAATATCTAAAATTGTATTGTCAGCTTGATACACATACAAATATATCTACTTTTAATACCTTAAGCTGTAGTTGCACTACGAAAAAAACACATGGAAAAAGAAAAACAGATAAATAAATAATGTAAAAAATACATAAACAGTTTTGTTCAAAATATGATTTTAAGTTACACAAGACTAGTAAGTTAAATACCATTTAAAAAAGACAAAACAGAACAGAACAATGAAAAATTTTTAATTATTCGACGTTAGTTTCATTATGTAAATAAATTAGTTTTGATTTAGTTTGATAAAAATGTCGTGCCATATGGCTCATTATTAATCAATGGTCGAGGCTATAAAAACATAAAGCGAGTCATGCCAGTTCTAAATTTCATATTGGTCAAATGTTTTTCCGGTGCTCACTGGCTGGTATTTTGTTGGGTGTCCTGCTCTTCAATGGTTGTGGAGCCGCGGTAAGTCCAGAATTCATATCCCATAAATATCGTTGTTAATTCATAATAATTAAGCAGCGCAGATGGGAGTACGAGCTCATGTCAGTCGAAACCTACAGTTCTGATGAAAGCCTAATGAAAATCGATGTCAAGGTTGAGCGCGTTGATCGCGGGGTTTATGGAGTAACCGGCAGTGTAAACTGGAACTACGATACGAGTGATGAGACTATGGTAGGTCTAACCCATATTATGGTTTCCCTTAGATGAGTGGACTATTCTTCCTCTTTAGGTGCAGGCCAGTGTCTTCAAAAGCAATTCGGGGGATGAGAGCGACTACAAGTCACTGCCTTGGGCAATTCCCGCCCAATCTCTTTACGAACACATGAACACCTATTACAAGGATGTGTCGATGAAAAACTTTAAGCACTGTTCCAATGTTCCGCAATTCGAGGGAAAATTCCAACCCCCAATACAAAAGCAGATTTATAGCGGCGACAAATGCGTAATAAATTGCGACGGGTTGCCTGATATCGTTCCTCCCGGATTCTACAAGATCATAATGAAATGCTCGGGACCAGGCCAGCCCACATGGAATGCTACTGTTATTTCGAAAGTAACAACCAAGATTTTCTAAAATTTATTGTCTTTTGAAAAAAAAGCGTACCTTTTTTTCTATTTTATAATTTGTTGAAATAAATTTTAAGCGATTTTGAGTACTAAATACCCGACTACGTGTTCAGTTATTTTAATAATAATATTTAAATAGGTTTAAGGTAGGGCCGTTAGTTGACGTCTTTTTATAATAAAGAACCATTATAATTTGTTAAGAAATATCTTAATAGTTTTTGGGTTTGAGAATCTCAGCATTTTGAGATCGAGATCGACTAATTAGCAAGCTATTGGCTCGTTATAATTTACAATATTCTTAATCTATATATTTTTACATGTTTTTGGCATGTGGTCTTGTTTAACATGTTTACCAAAAATGTAACATTGGCTTATATAATTAATACAATTCGCAGACGTAACCGTGCCATGCAACCAGTCTGTGTTTGCTATATATATTCCGCTCCGGTTGAGGATCGGATTAGGTTTAACTTTGGCTAAATAATGTCGGGTTGCTCATTGCTGTTTTTTTTCGGTGCGATCCTGATTCACGGCTGTACTGCAGGAGTATGTCAGGATTTCCAGCTATATTTGCATCACCAGGATTTCTAATTCCTGTATTAACATTACAGCGCAACTGGGATTACGAACCCTTATCATTGACATCCTATAGCTCAGATGAGAATCTTTTAAAGATAACGACCAAGGTTGATCGACTGGGACGCAGTGAGTACGCGTTTTCCATGACGCTGAACTGGAACTATGATGTGGATAAGGACACCATGGTTAGTACTAAGGTGGCATTTATCAATCCTTACTAAATAATAAATTGTTTTTCGACAGGTTGAAGCAGATGTTTACCACTGCTCATCAGGCGACGAGGATGACTATAAAATAATGCCCTGGTCTATACCCCAACAGCCCTTTTTCGAGTATCTAAACGGCTTCTACAAGGACGCGTTTATCAAGAATGTGGGCCACTGCTCCAATATGGTCCAATTCGAAGGGGATTTCGTACCTCCTTGGCCCAAAAATGTTTATATACTGGACAAGTGCGTAGCCAATGGCGAGGGACTACCAGATATCGCACCAGAGGGTTATTTCAAATTAGTTTATAAAATGACAGGGCAGGTTGAATGGGGTTTTACTCTGATCGTTAAGGTCGAACATAAGGTTATTTAAAGATGTCTTTTTTATTGTCCAAAGAAACCCATCCCAATTTTTTTTTTATTGATATAAATTTTACAATAATTTATCTAAACTAAAATTATGTTGGTTTTAATAAATTGTTTTTTAATTACATTTATTAAACTTTTGTGTTTTATATTTAATTAACTTTAATGTCAAAATAAACATGTAAGATTAAGTTTTATCTTTGGCTTGTAATATGAAGTGGACAAGAAAAATGATCGTAGTTTACTTAATGCAAACAAGGAAAGCGTGTTACTGAACTGTTTCTAAAATTGGTTGTCGATCCATGTCGATAAGTTTGACATGGTTTACCCTACATTTAATCGTATAAATGTTCACAATGTAAAAATGTGAACACAAAGTTTCCGTGCCATTCAGTTTTAAATTTTAATTCGATTTAAGCGACTATATAAGCAAGAAGATTTTCAAATACTAAGCCAGTTTCCTAGAAATGTTTTTTATTAACGTTCCTTTGCTTTCATTTGTGTACCTTTTTGGCACCCTATACGATGAATGTGCAGCCAGGGTAAGTTTGAAAAATTATTTGTTTAATTTAAAAAGACTTGAACCTTTAATGAGTAATTGTAAAACATTTTTGTTATGGTTATATTTAATAACTTTCTAAATTAATTCATATAGATAATTTAAAAAAATTTGGGGACTTAAGTAGTTGTGTTATTTTTATAGACCAATTGGGAGGCCACGCCCCTTTCGATAGGAGGAACGAGCACAAATCCGAGTGCTATGGACATGGATCTGCGACTTGAGCGCATTTCGAGGTCAGAGTTCGGTTTTTCGGGCACATTTTTCTGGAACATTGAAATGGACGATAACGTGATGGTGAGTAGTGGGACTAATCTGATAAGAAGCCCTATTAACAAGTGAAATGTACTTTCCAGGTCGAGATGCGCATTTTGAACAGCTACTCCGGTAACGAGGCCGACTACAAGCTGACCCCCTATTCCATCCAACCGCAGAAATTCATTGACTACATCAACACCTTCTACAAGGACATGCTTATTCCCAATCTCGGAAACTGCACCGATATGCCGAGGTACGATGACGGGTATGTACCTCCCTGGCCCAAGGCGACCTTCAGTTTCACCCGCTGCAGCCTGAACGGCAAGGGACTGCCGGATATTTTGGCCGAGGGCTTCTATAGGGGCGAGGCCATCATCACCGCCCTACCAACTGTGGCCGTAAACATCTCGGTCACTCTGCGGATCAAAACGAAAATGTTCTAAATTCCTAACAATTAAATCGCACAATTCCTCCCCGTCTATTGCCAACTGTTTTTGCTTTCGGGCATTCCCAAGGTGTGAGCCGAATTCCAGCTGCGACGAGATCGTCATAAAGTCCGCCGGACTCACGGGCCAATAAATGAACCGGGCCAGGTAGAAATCGCTTAAAGCCAGCTGACGTTGGCCAGCCAGGCAGGCAGTTCGAGTGTGAAATTGGCAAGACATGTTTGGAAACTGTTGTGGTTGGAAAAAAAAGTGTTTGTGGTGGGGTTGTCAGAGGGGAACGCCAAGGAAAAATTGCACAAAGTGTCGCCTGCAGAGAGAGAAATATCATATATGTATCACAAAATCAGATTACTAACTTGACTGGCAAAAATGCCAGAGCAACTTGACTGCATTAACCAGTCATATGATAAGTAAGTGATGATGATCAAATACTAGAGCAATGGATATTACTTATCTAATATCTCTAAAATAACATTCAAAGCATAGAAAGTCTCTTGAATTTTTCCTGTGCACTTTCCCCTCGTTTTGCCCCCTTGAAAATGCAATTCGAGTTGCATTTCAAGTGAAAACTCTGCACAGTTGCCTCGGCTAATTTATTGCAAATTGTTAAAAGCTACAACGACGCTGCTGCTGGCTGTCAACTGATGACAGCAGCATGCGGCTCCTCCCCACTGAAACCCCCTTCTTCCTAACCCAAACTTGTGGCCGCTGCTGTGTTTTCCCCATTTTCAGGCTGCTCCCCTTGTTGGCTTGGGGGAAAAAATTCAGTTTAGAGTGAGCCACATTCGCATGGAAATCGTTGGCAATTTCACAGCGTAGCAATAAAGTCACAGATCTTTGAAGAGCTTTATTTAAAGTGTATGTGCAGATTGAAGAGCTGAAACTCTTTGGATTTTAGAAGCATAAAACGCGCTTAGTGATTCCAATTTAATGAGTGTCAGGTTCTGTTTTAAAGGCGGTTGTAGTAAAGTGAGGTTTAAAATACTTTGCATTTAATTTGGAATTAGAATTTATTAGTTACTCAAAAGTTTAATATTTCTGGTACTAATTCAACGTTCAATTACATTAATTAATGCCATAAAATATATCAAATTAAGCACCTATCTGCACATCTAATATGGTTTTCAATGCTTGACTTTTGTGTAAAAATGTTTATTTTGCATTACAATCGAGATGGCGATCTAACAACGTTTTAAAAGCCAATTAATATGCTGCAACGAAACGCGGCTCACCCTGATTAGCATACAACAACGGCAACGGCAACGGCAACCAATTTGCATTTAGCCACCATCCATCTAACTCACACAGACCCCATCGCCCCACAAAACCCCTCAAGAGTCCCATCAGATGGGGACTTGAACATTTTGCGGCATTGACAATATCAAATTGTTATCTGGCATAAAATAATTACAACGTTTTAATGCAGACAAAATAGTTGTCGTCGACGATTCGACGGTTGCAAGTTGCTGTGGCTTGCTGTTGATGTTGATGTTGCTGTTGCTGTTGATATCATCGGTGTTGTTGCTGGTTGTTGCTGGTTGCCTGCTGCTTTGGCTGCCAAAGTTTAGCTGCCAATTTGAGTGCCAATAAAAGCGCGTGTGCGACAGCAAAGAGATTTCATTTTCAGCGGACAACGTTGCCAT